GGGGGGGCAGGCCGGCAGGGGGAGGCGCAACATGGGGGCGCAACATGGGGGCCCATCGCATCACTTCGAAGTAGACATGCATCGATTGGGAACCTTATATGCAGATGTGCGCAAATGCCCATAAACTGACTACGGAAGGCTCTTTCCATGCACCCAACAAACAAACACGGCAAGGCGGCGAATCAGTTATCCAACTGAAATGCCGCGGTTGTGTTTTATGGCACCCTCCAGTTCTTGGCCAGTTCCCCAAGCTGCTAGAAGTCATGACTACCAGTCTTTTCAGCGAAAACATCACATGGCCAAAGAGCGGACTTGGCATTCAAATTTCTGGAAACTTTTTCCGCACATGCCGTGGGACAGGTGATGTGCACTGGGCATTTGGTGCTGCCCATTTTGGAGCGCCGGATGTGCCCTCAGACAAGTTGGTGAGGTAACACACTGCATTGTAGATGATGTGACCAGCTCTCTGGCCTTATGTTGCTGCAAGTCATATGCAAGGAACATTAGATCAGTCTCAGTGATGTGCACAGATGTCAACGTTGCCTTCCAGAGGAAAAACATCCAAGCAAAACATCCATCACTGTTGTCATTGCACCATTGGCAGTAGACTGCAGTGGGTGTGAGCGGAGTGGACGTGGAGGCCTGTTGATGTGGCTGACATATCGATCCACGTTGAGGAGATACTGACAGGGGCACCTTGCTCAGACTGCAGTCCTATTACCATCTCTTGAAATCCAAGGGGCACATCAGTAGCCACGCAGGCTGGAAATAGGCATCAATCAGCAACCCCATGAATCCCAAACTTCAAATTCTGGACTCGATGTGTACAAGCAACTGTCCTCATGCGCACACACCATTTTCTGGCCAATGCATTGCTTTTGCAATTTTTGCTGGATGTGAAGGATTATATAGAACGGGTTTGCGGCTTTAACAAAGACCACTGCCACAGCAGGTTCTCAATAAGTGAGCGTCCACTACAGCGTCAAAGGTGCCGTTGGTCTACATCTATAGCACATTGAGTCCAGCGTCATATGCGATTTTGATTTTGATTTGTTGGTGTTATTTCTTCAATGAAGATGAGTTGCTGAAAGGAGCTGGGGCTGATGCTCCAACGGTTCGTGTCCGTGGTTCGAGTCGAACCAACAAATGCAAATAGCAATAAATATCAAATAATCAAATCATCAAACATGCATGCATATCAAACTATCAATATGAAGGATATGCTCCAGGAGTTGTGAGATTGGACCTTTGACGCTGTAGTGGACGCTCACTTATTGAGAAGCCTGCTGCTGTGTCACGTGGCACACAGGGGTGGCATGCATTAGGGTTGTAGTCGTTTTGTTGAAGCCATGGTCTCTTCATTTCTATGTTCACCTAAGCCGCAAACCCGTTCTATGAGAGAATCTTAAGAAATCTGAAGATCCAATAGGAAGCATATATCACTGCTTGACCATGTTCAAGAAGACAAGAGGCAGCATCCAGATACAGCAAACGGCAACATTGTCATTGTAACGTTACAATGGACAGTCCACAGTTAACAGTCCACAAAAAAGTGCCTTCTCCAGGAGAAAGTGAAAAATGTGAATATAATGAAATCATTTGTTTAAAAGTTGCGAAGTAAGCCTCTGTCATGGACATGCTCAATTGCGAACGTTAGTGAAACAATTCGTCTGCATTAGCACTTTTGGCTGTTCATTCTTATGTTCCAAAGGCAAAACGTTGATGAACATGTGTAGTGGACGATTGCTACAATGACTTGGTACATGAAACCGATGAGGACAACCCATCACAGTGTATCCTTTGGAAGGTGGGGACCACACAGTAAGAAACATTCGCTTGCCAACTGCCGAGTGAATGTGAGATGCAACCTGCTCCACACAACAGACACTGGCGAAATGTGCCTTGAAGGCTGAGTTTGGATTTTGAATTTGCATGGTACATAAGGGGACGGTGTGAGCGGAAGCCGTATGGGTTTTCCGGTATATTGGCTGGCGTGTGTGCTTGAGAGGAAGGACGGAGGATGCACAGCATTTTGAAGGAATGTTGGTCTGTTTGTTCTTGCGGGTTTATTGTGCATGTTCAGTGATCGATGTGTGTCTCGTGAAGTGTGTGTGATTCGCGAAAGGGGCGGTTACTTTGTTGCCAGAATGAATCCGTTCTAGATTCGTTCCTCCTCCGGAGTTGACGGCTTTGGCGCACTTCAGAACTGAATTTTATCAAATTTGCAACTCGGTCAAATGCAGCGAATCTCGATCGCAGGCTCAGGTCTTGGCGGCCTCCTGTTGGGAAATTTCAAGGGACCTAATTCTTGTCTAGCTATGGGCCCTGGTGGACCATAGATTCGGCAGTGATGGCGCGACGAGGGCTGAGGCAGGTGGGCGCCATGCAGCAAGATTGGTGGTGCCATGCAGAGCGGCGATCGGCACTGGTTTCGGAGTGGTGAACGCAGTGCCATAAGGGGACGTTGCGCTGTCATTGTGCACATTTTGACCAAATTGGAAGCAACTTTTCAAAGTTTTATCGAGTTGGTTGAATGGAGTCATGATGCCATACCAATTCTTGTGATAACAAGAATTATGCGTCGGACGTCGCTGGCCCTTGACCACTGCCGATGCAGTAACAGCGATGGGGGCTCCTTGGTCCTATCTTCCCAGGGAAAATGCTTACATTAGTCCGTGTTTCATACGACTCTCATGGTCAGGTACAGAAGAAATAATGATGCTGAGTCAATAGTGCTTGCAGGGTAAGGGCATCGCACTATGTGCGCCCACATCCTGAGTCTAGTCTGCACAGGATACTCCCAAACCACATTAAGCCGTGGTAATTCTGGTGAGTGTCAAGGTGAATCTTGTTGAGGACAAGGCGCAGTTTTTGTATGAAACTAACTTTCGTGCAAAATATCGGTAAGGGGGTCACGGAAAACAACAGAACATGCATCCTCTTCTCTTTTTGTGCACTCAGAAATGGCGATATTGCACACAAATTTCCTTGTTTTCTGACGGCCTATCTTGAGCACAACCGTTTTGCCCAAAAAAACACATAATCGCGATGTTGCGCACAAGTGCAGCCTTTTGGACCTTACCGACATTTTGTATGAAAGGCTGTTATGACCCCTTGCACCCCTTCTTGCGCCTTTCATGCGCCGTCACCCCGAAATTCTGTTCGTCATCACACATATTCAAAGCTTTTCTCTGTCCTTCCTGATCATCTTTGATGCAGCGCTGGCATAGGGAAGACATTATTTTGATTTTGGTACGCTTAGTGTCAATTGATGTCAAGGGGGGAAGGGGTCCAGCCCATGACGCTGTGAGACTATGTAATTGCACCAAAATCAAAGTAACATGGGAGGATGCACAAAAGCGCCGCCGATCAGCGGCAAAGAACTCATAGCTTGTTGTACAACCTCCCTCAAAATTTCAGTCATCTAGATGGTCTTTAGAATGGAAAATAGAGTGGCTGCTCTCATCGCCCATCATCGCTTTTGGCATCCCAGTTTACAGATCACCACAATCGCTACAGTTTTGGCCAGGTTTTCCCTCAAAATTGTTTTGAAGTTTTATGACATTGTTAGGTTATGATGCTGAGTCACCCTGGCATTGAATTAAGGATTGACCTAAAAGGGGGGGGGGGGGGGGCTTTGAGCTTAACGTCAATTTGATGTTAAGCGTACCAAAATCAAAAAAGCATCTTCCCTTACCCAGCCATCCCATGCGGTGTTCAACGTATTTGTGGCACACAGCGTACGCCTTAGCCGCAAGTCATGCACCGGGGGACAAAGGTCTTTAGGAGGTGTTGTTGTAACCATGACTGATTGAGTATCATATCTAGCTGGATACATAGAGGTGACGAGACAACAGGAACAGAATCAATAATTCGTTAAACGACACTAATGAACGGACCAGATATACAAGGGACAGAATTCCTGCCGTCCCTTTGCTCCACTGTAAACCGTTGCCGTGTACTGGAGCCTACGATCCTCAGTCAGGGGTCGCCACTCTCCCGCCCTGCCTGCCAGCGTCAGGAACAGCGATGGTGACTCGTTACAATGCGGCCACTATTTGTGCGCATGAAAATTCATCAACGTACCCTTCTGCAAGCGCACACAGCGAAGGTTTTCCGTTGGGCGTCGCTGGAAGGGCAGACGCCAGGCGGCAAGGACGCGGGACGGGATAAAGGACGCCAAGAGCGGCAGCGCGTGGCGGGTCAGAAACTTTCCCACCCCACAGTCCGGTATGGACATTGTCCGCCGCCGATTTCCTCTCAACGAATTCGCCCATCCCTGTCGCGTTGGGCTGGGACGGTGTCCCCTCAATGCCACCCTGCCATCTGGCCGCCCCACTGTCCCCTCTCAAGCTGTGCCAGGGAACTCTCTGTCGCTTTCCACGGCCCAGCGCTCGCTTGAAGAGCGGTTGCCGGCAGACCCGGCGACACCCATTTGCTGACGGCGTGCTCAATGTCACGGATCCAGGCAGTTGCCATTCGGACGTCGTTCGGTCTACCCTGCGCACCCGCTTTACTTGTTGTGCCCAGCATGTTGGGGCTAGCCCCGTTTTTAGTTGCTCCTCTGTTGCCCTCAGTTGGTGTGCTGCATCAGCTCATGACTTGATGATCATTGGTCCCCCTTGCCTGAGCAAACGCCCTGGCGGACTGCGCCCCATGATCCCGGGGCAGGGATCGCTGATGCCCAGCATGTTGGGGTTGGCCCTGTTTTTAGTTGCTCCTCTGCTGCACTTAGTTGGTGCACTGCATTAACTTATGACTTGATGATCATTGGTCCTCGATGCCCGAGCAAACGCCCAGGCGGACTGCACCCCATGATCTTGGGGCAGTGGTCACTGATCAACCACCCAGTTTGCACGCACGAAAATGCCATATCAATCATGTTGTATTCATGCACACTGAATTCAAGGCCAGAGAAATGGTGACCAGCCAATTGTGTGCCTGTAGGGCTGGCCACGCTCCTGGGAACAGCGAATTTTTGTCTGTCTGCCTCGGGGTGCATGGCGGGACTGCAGTGCTGCCGCCGTGAGGCTGTTGCGTATTTTGCTGGTGCGGCTGCTGAGTTGATTTCACCAAGATGGGAACTTGGTGCTGCTCCTGCCTTCATGATGCACGCACGGTGACTCTGATTGTGCATTTGCTGGCATGCCTTGATCCCTATTTGCCATTGTTGCCAGGTATAGCTGGGTTACCACTGCAGTGCTCTTATGCTGCTCTCCTCCTGGATGCCTGTTGGATTAGTTCAAGAGTGCACTCCCACTGGTGTCATTCCCATGAGGCCCGTTCTCCTGTTGGAGGTCTGCACACAGTGACAGTATGGCGGTCAAGGAGGTGTGACCAGGTGAGCCACAAAGTGGGCCCAATGCACCATTGACAGTGCCAACTGCTGGGGGAATGGCTGGCCAGGTTGTATGTCTGTAACCAGCACCTTGCTGTCTCAATGTTCACATCAAATTGAAAGTTTGGGCGCCAAACCCATCATTTCACAGTAATGTTGCTCCTTGGCCGCATTGGCACATCGGAAGAACATGGAAGGGGAGCAAGTCGTGTGCATGACCAAGATTAAATGAGACCTAAAACAAAATGAACTTCAGCATTTGGGGGTGTAGCGATATGTGGTGGGAGGCTGCCAGATGAGAAGTGGGCACATGTTGTAGCAGCTCCAGGAACTAAGGCAAGTATGCTCGTTCCTTTCATGCAGGATGCAAGGGCATCCCTGCCTTCTGTTTGGCAGTCACCTCTACCCATGTTCTTGTCAACCGCAGCCTTGGCCATGGCCTCCATGCCAAGGGCACACTTGCCAGGGCAAAAACTTAGCCACAGTATGTCCAGCCTGCCATCGCCACCCTTGGCTAGTGTACAAACTGGCCATGAGGCAGGCAACCTGGATCAACCAGTTTCTCTGGTCCCGAATGTGGACGCCCCATCGGAAGGATCCCAGTCTGGTGGGGCTGGCCCAGTGGCGGGCCAGGGGCTCTGTGCCTCACTGAGCAGTGCCTCAAGTCTGGCCAATGGCTTGGAGGCAGGGGAGAAGAGTCAAGAGGAAGAGCAGACAGAACAGGGGGGAAAAGGCGAAGGTGGGAGAGGCAGTCCTTCTTCGCAGGGTGAACCTGGGAGCAGCGAGGGCCCCACCCTGTCGTCTGAGGCCTCAGATCATGACATGTGGGCTCCGTATGACGATGAGGACGAAATCACCCTGTCCCGTTTTCCCCCGTTAGCTCCATTGGTGGTTGCAAAGGGAGAGGGATTCGTTGATTTCCGCAGATTGGCGAGTCTAGAAGAGGTGGAAAATGAAATTCGAGAACTCGGCGACGCCGTAGAAGGGCACCATCTGGCCGCGGCCTTCAACAGGCTGAAGCAAATGCAGATTGGGGCTGATTTGAACCAGAAACGGGTCCTGTTGAAGAAGCTGAGAGGGTCATTTCTTGAAGAACTTTCCCATATGATGATCAAATATGCACACAAGCTAAGCCCCAGGAATGTGGTGGCAGTCATCCATGCCTGTGCAAAACTGCGATATGTCAATTGTGGTTTGCTGGAGGTACTGTCAAAGGAGATGTTGAGAAAAAAGTCTGCAAAGGTATTCTACTCCATGGAGTTGGCAAATCTGGTGTACAGCTTGGGGGTATTGGCAAAGACTCATGCTTTTCTGTCAGCAGCTCATCTGGGAAACTTGGAATACTATCGGATGCATGGGCCCAAGCCAGTGGCCCCCATGTTTGCCAGTCAGGGCAGGCTGTTGAGAGATATAGCCAAGGAAATGACTGTCTCTCATCGATTGACTGACTTCAAGACTCAAGAGCTTGCAAACACAGTCTATGGGTTTGCGTTGTTGGACTTTCGTGATGACCATGCATTGGTCGCCATATCTAGGGAGCTGCTGAGCCCAGAACATCAAGACCACTTTGAGGACCAAGAAATCTCCAACATCGTCTACGGTTTTGGGTTGCTTGGGTACAGGGATGAGTACTGCATCATGGCCCTTCTGAATGGAGCCCTTACGACAGGGAAACTTGCAACCTTTCTGCCCCAGCACGTCGCTAACATCCTGTATGGCTTGGCAAAGCTGGGCTTTCGATATGACAAATTTTTGGAAGCGGCGATGGAACGCATTGTCCACCCCCAGGACCTTGCAAAATTTAGGGAGCAGGAGCTGGCGAACCTGACATCGTGCCTCGCTGTTCTGGGTGTTAAAGATCCCCAGATCTTTGCTGCTTTGGTGTCAGAGATCACAAAGCGCAGACACATGCAGCGGTTTACGGTGCAGAATTTGTCATCCATCGTTCTAGGTTTAGCTGAGGCTGGTCACCGGGATGTGGATGCTCTCAACTGTTTGGCGGAAGAGATCGTCCGGCCAAGGAGAATGGCAGGCTTTTCTCCGCGGGATCTGGTGGACATCATACAAGCTTTTGACAAGCTGCAGTTTCACCACCAGGGGTTCTTTTTGGCACTAGCAGCAGAATTGCGAAAGCCACATAGGGCTTCTCAGGCCAGCAGGGAACTATGGCAGGTCTGCCGGGGTCACCTCATGGCATATTCCTTTGCATTCCCGTTTTGATTTGTTCATGCTTGATGCTCTTGTAACATGGTTGGTGGCCTTCTCTAACCAAGGCAGGTGCCCCCACAAGTGATGCTGAAATTGAGCTGACCCACAAACGTTGTCTGCATGCTGTGGCTGGATCAGGGGGAGGAACATACTCACCTGCATGCTTTGAGCTTTGGCTCATTCGAGAGCCCAGAAGGCAAAGTGCGAGTGTGTGGTACTCACAGATGTGAAGAGTGCATGCATCGACAATATGTTGGCAGCAGAGATGGAGATGCAACCCCTTCCCTGGAAGGTTCCAGTGCATCTCCGGGAATGGTGTGTATGTAAGCTGACGAAGCTGACAAACGTTCAGACGGACTACGCTGCGCTGCTCAGTGCAGTAATGGAGTTGGCCTCCACGTCACTGTTGTTAGTGTGTGTTATTGTTGTGGAGAAGTATTCAGCTGTGTTCTGGGATACAGCTCTGCTATGCCAGTGCCCTAGGGGTGCACCAAGGCCTGAGTGTTGTGGGGCAGCGGTCCATGCAAGTAATGATGACAAATACTACTTGTGGACAAACGCCCGCGAACTAGAAGAACTGACTGCTGCAACGAACGAAGCGTTGCACAAGGGTCGTTTGACCTCTGCAAATGCCTGCTGGTAAAAGTGCACACAGTTTCGCCGTTCCGTGCACGAGAGAAACGACGCCAAAGGCAGAGGCCAAGGCGACGAAAGCCCCCCCCCTTGCGACTGTGAACGTGTTGCTGCAGTTTTCTGACCCAAAACGTACGACAGTTTGCTGACAGCCAATGCCACTGCAGGACAAGACAGGGTTGGCAAAGTGCACATGAAGCACGACACAACATCCAGGCGCGCGCTGAGCAGACGTCTTCTTGGCACCGCGGAGCCGTCAGGCGTCCAGGGTCGACGCAAAGACAACACGAGTAAGAACAGCTGGGGACGTCCGCGCAGCCATCAACCGCTCGAGGTCGACGCAAAGAGCCAAAACAACTCACCAAGACTCGGGACGTGCACGTGACCGCCACAACAACTACACTAACGCTTCCCGCCTACATTAGGTCCAAGTCGGCGGTCGCAGGCGTACGAACGCCCGCTACCCGACGAGAACCTGTCCCTGCCCCTGTGCCCCACTCCGCCGCCCTGACTGCAAGTTCCGTGTGGCCCTCCGCCTCACCCTTATCCACGCCCCACCGCCCACCGGCCAATCAAAGCCCGGGCCCCCCGCCAGAACGCAGAGGGCCGACGCGAGGGCCGGGCGGCGCGTGGAGCTGCGGCCCGGCCGGACAGCGGCGCCGGGCGCGTGATGAAGGCCCCGGGCACCTGGCGCCGCCTGCCGATCGCCCTGCTGGCGATCCTGATCGTCCGCGCGTCCGCCCAGCGGCAAGGTGGGCGCCCGGGATGCGGAATCGGCCCTCGGCGGGGCGGGTGATGCGGGGAAGGCCTCCTGGGGGGTTGGGGGTTGGGGGCATGCTAAGCGTGGCGGGAGTGCCGCGGGAAGGGGTCCTGTTGTTGATTGTACTGATTGCGGGACGGCCGGCGAGGGCGCTTCGCTGGGCTCCGCACTCGCGCGCTCTCCGGGCTCATGGAGAATCAAAGGCAGCCCTGGGGAGTATCGCTCGATGTGGGCGAGTTCAATGCAAGGGGATGCGCGTCGCGCCCGGGAATTGGGGGATGGCCCGGCGTTAGGGAAGGGCCGGGGCGATGATGAATATTCCGCTGTGACGTTGACCGGTGCCGCCCCCGGAAGGGGGGGCACGGGAAGCCATCAGCCGCGCTCGTGCGTCGGCGTGGATCGGGGACGGCCTCGCGCGGCGCCGCACGGGGGGGGTGATGCGAATCGGGCGCCGCGCGGGAGGCGCGGGGTACCGGATGGATTTGGGCGCGTCGAAAGACGCCGTGGTGCTGCTGGCCAGTTGGAAGGCGGAAACATATCGTGGCAATCGCGCAAAGTCCTCCTGTGGAGTGGGAGCTGGAAGGGGGGCTGCCCTTCCGGTGGTGTGATTCCGTGCGGCGTCTAAATTGCGCGCCCGTGAAGGTGCATTTTGATAGCATGCCGTATGGGGAAGCAAGGGGGTGGTTTGGAGGGGCCCTCCGATAGCACAGCCCTCAAGTAACAGTTCGGTGCCATCTTTGGGCTGCGCGTCCCATTTTGTGCGCGGGCGTGGGTGCGGAACGGTTAGGCGACACTGTGCTCTCACCGGCGCTCATCTGATACTTTTTCATTGTTGCACGCTTTTCTGTTGGCGTTGCACTATGATTGAGCGTCCTGCGAGGGCTGGTGGCCTGAGGCCGCCTTCCTGGCTGAGCGGAGGCCTGCCCGCCGGTCGAATGGGAGGCCTAGCATGAGTATAATTGGCGGGGAACTGTGTTGCCTGTCCCTACACGTGGTTCAGAAAGGCTGCTTTTTGTCGTGTTTGCCAGAGAGTGTGACAAAGAACAGCTGTTTCGCCTGCAGGCGAGGCACCTCTAGAAACGGACTTGGTTGTGAAGAGCGTTCGTGCGGTGTGGTGGAAATGAGGTTGTGTGGACATGCTAGTGAAAGTCGAACACAATCTGTGTGTGGAGGCAGTATTAATGGACGTTGTGTCTGTTCATTTGGCAATGAATGGTGAAGCAAGAAATGGCCAGCCAAGTTCGAGGTTTGATTGATGGCCATCTGTTGACTGCCTGGCTGACAGGCTGGCTTGCTAAGGAGTGACAGGAATTATGGGACTTGTGCGTAAAACCCCATTTCTTCCAGATGGGGCTGAACGGGTTGGGGTGGGGTGGGGGTATGCACGGGTACTGCAACTGGGCCAAGCATAGAACGAGTGCTTAAACTGTTGCTGTGCTGAGAACACTGAACTTACAAGAGCCAACAGAGGCTCCACTCTGATATGCGAACTTGCATCAGCTGGGCTGCAAAATGCAACCATGTCTGATTGCTGCTGCTGCACCACAGCCAGAATCAGCCACGTTTGGGAGGATGGGCAAGTATACTCTGGTACAATCAGTTGCTGTGGGAAAGGAATTCGGAAAAACATATGTGCCACAGGCTCACTGGAAAATTCTTCTCCCTTGTTATCTTTGCATATAATGCAAATGGCCCATCTTTTAACCTGGGGTTCCGGCATACAGAAACCAACTCACACACTAACCTTTGTTCAATTCCGTGTGTTGTTTTCGCATGGAAGCTTTCTTGGTTGCAGCTCACCCATGCTGTCTCACCCTGTCGTTTTCAGGTGCACCGGCTCTCAATTGTTCGACATTTTTCGGTGGCCCAGTGGGTCCCTCCAACACAACTCTTATCGTTGCCCATGAGCAAATCAACAGAGTCTCTGGCGACCTGCAGTTGCTGGTGGACTGCGTTCCGCCAGATGGGAAGCTTTTGTTCAATGTGTCCAAGGTGCAACCACTGAAGAGGATCGTGATAGATAAGCCACTTGTGCTGGGTTCTCACATTGCTGCTCTAGGAAGTGCTGCAGCGGATGACCTGAAAATGGTCCTGGAATGCCCAGAGGGTGATGGTGTCTTGCTGTTGCGGTGAGTTGGCAAAGCTGGCACGATGATAATCTGTTTGTCCTCTGTGAAATTGCGTTGGTTGCTTTTGTTGCAGAAACCATGACAATATTTGCCCTTGCACCTTACACCCTGAGAGCCATGATGAATGCAGAAAGATCATATCAGTGTTTTCCGGCATCCAAGATCAGCATTTCACTCCAACAGAGTGCTTTGCGTGTATCATCTTATGTGTAAGGGCCCCCCAGACTGGGGAACACGCAGCCGCAGTTGTCAATGCAAAATGAGTCCCAACATGTGAAGAGCGTTGCATTGGACACACCCTCTGGGTTCCCCTGTTGATGTCCCCTTATCACCAATAAGCAAAGTAAGATTCCCCAATATGAAGAGAGGACTTTCTTTTTGTGTGCCACTGTGCCCACAATGTGGGGCGGAGTGATGTACAGTAGGCACACGCTGTACGCTGGGCAATAATGACCCTGTCAAGCGAAAAACCAAAGCAGTGCTGTTGAATTTCTTTTTTGGCCCCAAAATGTTACATCACATATCAGATTGCAGTTAAGATTGCGATCGATGGTGGCTGAACTGGCGATGCTGCCTGATGCAACAGGTCCCATGGTGTCCGCATCGTGGACATAGCTTTTGCTAACTGCCGGACAACCTCAGGTGTCGCCCCTGTACAGCTGCAAAACTGCAAAGTTGCCAATTCTTCACGAATGGCTGAATCGGTGCGCTTTCTCCGAACAGCGTTCCATTCCAACGAAAACCAGAATGGCACGGGTGGGGCGCTGTCTGTTTCCAACTGCACGGCCATCTTGGAAGACTCTACGTTTGTTGACAACAAGGGCGTGGATTCAGCAGCCATCGATGTCGCCAAGGAGGGGGTTGTGAGTGTGCTGCGGTGTGACTTCTTCAACAACACAGCGGCTTCAACTGGCGGAGCACTGGGCGCCAAGGGGCAGATGTTGACCATAGAGGAGTGTAGATTTGCCAGGAACAGAGCATCTGCAAATGGCGGGGCTATATTTTCCCAGGTGAGGTGGTCTGGGAGTCACCTCGTGGATGGAATTGTGCGAGTGTGAAGTTTGTGAAGCATCTGAAGTTTCTGAAATTCTGAAATGTCTGTGTCTCTACAGATATCTGAGTAGTATCTGAACACAAGTATCTTGTTGTAAGTGTCGAAGTTCTGCTCATAGAATTCTGCCAGCCACAGCCAAGATAGGAATAAATGTTTCCTTGGGATTAATTCACATGGTCATTGGTTTATCTGCTGGCATTAAGCTCAATGTGCAGCTGCTGAATATCCCTCTGCCTGAGTAGCAAAAATCTGGCTTTATAGGCAATTCACTGACCCCTTGATTCCTGTACTGCAATTGCAGTCGGTGGCAGAAGCAAGCATCAGCATCTCGAGTTCCCTGTTTGAGGGCAATGAGGTCTTGACCCTGGACAAGATCGGTGGCGGTGCAATCTTTCTGGAGGGTCGGGGTGTCAGCTGCTCCATCAGCGACGATGTCAAATTTCTAAGCAATAGAGCCGCCCTGGCAGGTGGGGCCATCGCTGTCGTGAATGGAACAAATCTGTCCCTTGGTGATTCAACTTTTTTGCGGAATGCAGCCAGCCGGGGGGGAGCCTTGTACATTGAGGTGAGTGCAGATCTGGTTTCAAGCTGCAGTTTTATGTTGCCTCAGTGCATGGTGTGAGCCCTCAGTTACTGGCAGCAAAGAACCGTTGTTGCACCTGGTAGGCAGAGTTGGGCAGCCCTCGTAGATTTCATGTGAACATGCATACTGTACTGTCACAGCCCATGCATTATTGATGAAGTTGCTGTTTTCCATACTATGTCAGTTGTTTCTCTGTCCATTCAGGGTCAATTTTGACTGCCAGGCTGTGCCTCTGTGGCCACTGTTCAATAGAGAATGCAAAGCAGCTGTTTAGCATTTAGGCTTTGAGACATATTTCCTTGTAGACATCTGGCCGCCAGAGTCGTTATTGCTTTGCTGGATTCCATTGTGAGCTGTGCAGTAGATACATTGTCTTGTGCATATATTGAGTAGCAGCAATATTCTGTATGTGATTCGCTTGTGTGCCACCAGCGTGTGTGATTGTGAACAGGGTGTGTGGCTTGGGCAGAATAGTCTGAACTGATAGTGGCATGGTGATTTCGTATGATATAAGTCAGGCTCCATATTGTGGGAGTGCCCCTTTGCCAACAGATAGCTTTGCAAAGCCACAGTTGTTGGAATCCTTTTCAGATAGGGTCACCTGTCCAGGTGGCAAGTGCCCTCTGATGTGGCTATTGTGTGCGAGCAATCCAGCCCAGGAACCAGAACTGGCAGAACAGCACATGTCTATCTTACGAACTGGCTTGTGTGCCACTGCTTCTCAACAGTCAGAGCCCGACGTCACCGTGTCTGCAAAGAATGTCGTATTTGTGAACAACTCAGCAGGGGGCGCTTCCCATCACGGCGGTGCGGTCGAGCTATGGCGACCCGGTGCAACACTCAACCTGCTTGGAAATGTCACCTTCATGGGCAACAAAGCCCAGGGCACTGGTGGGGCTGTCTCCATGGGCAGAGGCGCAACGCTCAATGTCACCAATGCCCTGTTCTTGAACAACAGTGCTGTGGGTGGCGGTGCAATATCACTTCAGGTAGACTGGGGGACTGGGTGGTCATTGATGGCATTCCGGGGTGCTCATTTCCCCAAGCACAGCAACGTGCTGCCCATGTACTGAGGAAGCAAGGCAAGGATAGGTTGATTCCAGCCTGGGAGTGGGAAATATGAGGAAACAACAGAAAGAAAGTCGGATTCAACCATGGCAAAGTCCTTGCTGCCAACTCTCAATGACCTTGTGTAGCTCATAACCACGGTAGTATGTACTGGACTGCTTACTTGATTGCTTTGGTGCTGCAACGGTATGTAGTGCAGTGCCCAATACTACAGCAGTCTGGCAGCACACTGGCCTTCCATTCTTTAGTCAATTTCATGCAGTGGACGCAAAAGAAATTGCAGGCCCTTTACGGTCCATGTGAATTGGGTGTCATGGACTCTGGTAATTGTGCACCTCATTCAAACTGCACGTTCTGTATTTGTTCCCACACACGCATGAATACAGAAGTGTGTTGAATACGACAGTAATATTGTTGATCCCATGAACATGTTGCTCCATCAAGGTGGCAGTATCAGTTTGACACACATTGCCAAGACGCCTACCTGTAGGGGAGTGCAGGGTGTCGCACTACTTACTCCACAATACCACAAACGATTCCACGTTGAACAGTGATTTGTAGCGTTTATGTTGTCACACTTCATTCTCCCCAACAATTCATATCAACCCCAAACATCAGAAATGGTGAGACTGTTCTGTGTCTGTCATGTGGCTGCAGCCATACGCAGCGAAGAGCGTAATGCTGGTGTCAGACACACTGTTTGAGAGCAACAACGCATCTGCCGATGGCGGTGCAGTTGTGCTGATGTCAGGCAGGGCAAGGGTGCTGCTGTCCAAGGCTGTCAGATTCGTCAGCAACTCAGCTGCCAGGTTAGGGGGGGCTGTTGCTGCTTTTGATGCGGCCAGCTTCAACTCCACCAGTGCAGTGTTCACATCGAACTCTGCAGGGGAGGGTGGGGCGCTGTATGTCAAGGTGAGTAGGTATATCCCCCGGAGATATATCTCTCATAGATTCTTCATGTAGATGTTGCTTTGATAGGTATATGTTACATTGGTAACATGTCTGGAAGAGAAGTGCCATGTTGGAAGCACCCAAAATAATTGCATGCTTTGGGGCTTTCCCTATTTGTGGCAGATGGTGATCCTTTCGCTCCTGAACAAATTGGGTGAAATTGTCGCAACCTCCATCTGTCTGAGCCTGCAGTTTGCTTGCATGTTGCACCCTTGCATCTGCATGATGCCATCATCTCCTTTGCAGTATATGGATAGAGGCTCGTAACGTCCGCTGCATTGTTATGCTGCCTAGCAGAGGCCTCATTCCGAATGCTCAACCAGTTGCATTTTGCAAAGAGCGTGGATTTGTTTGTGCTGAACAAATCTTACCGCAAAAAGGAGGATAACGCAGGCCGTATGTCAGAACTGATAAACATAAGGTCAGCTCTGCCAGCATGTCCGATTCTTGGTGTGATGTATTTCTGGATGTCTTTCTGTGTCGACTTGTTCCAGCACGTGGTGTCTCTGGTTGGTTCTTTCTGAGGCATGGTTGTGTGGTCTCAGGCAACTGGTCAAAATTTCCTGACCATCGTGAACTCAACTTTCAGCCAGAATATGGCAAGATCCACAAACGGCACCATCCTTGGGCAGGGAGGGGCTATCAGCATTTCAGGCCCGCTTGGCAATGGCACAGTCAGGGAATCTGTATTCCTGTCGAATGTTGCCCAACAGTCGGGCGGTGCCTTGAAGGCATACAACTCTGTAGCCTTGCATCTGACTGCGTGCAGTTTCTCAAACAACACAGCAAAAGGAGAGGGTGGAGCGGTGGCCGTAGAGGGTGTCTCAAAGGTGCTGCATTTCTCCAATTGCGACTTGAGCAGCTTCTGGTCAACAGGGCAGCTGCAACTGCCGACGTGCGGGATGTTGGGTTGCTGTCCCTGACTGCATGTCTGCACAGTGCTCAGAGCGCCTGTGCTATGGGCCATTGTCATGGGACTGTCTATGTTTGCTTTTGTGAAGAACAGATGAAACTTGCCAGTGTACCCTGAGGGTGATGTTGGCATGGGAGCTGCTGTCACCTGGAAAAGCGACCGGACTGAATATGATATATTAACGAATAGTAGATAGATAAGTAAATAAGTAGGTAAGTGAAGATAATTATAGGTATAAGGCAGTAGATCTTGTCATAAAACAGACTTGGTAAATGAACGTAGTAAATGTAAACACAGTAAATAGCAAGTATAGATATAGGTGTGTGCTGTGGCATGTACAAAATATATAACCTTTCCCGTCCCTCCTTGGAGCTTGTAGGCATTGACAGCAGCCCTTTTGGCAGAAGATTCTTGCTGGCTGGCAGTTGATATGCTTCAAGGTGTACATGAACAACATGTACATGTAACAACGTGAGCACGTCATACATTGTCAGGCCCTCTCCGAGCTGGAATGCGTTGGCCTTGATCTGGTTTGCTCTGGGTGTGGTTGTTGATGCCGTCCATTACACTCCATGAGTGCTCAACGCTTAATGGCGCAGTGTTTCTGTCTCATTTTAGCACATCTTCTATATACTCTGATGTAAATTCTTGCACCTGTTTGGGACCAATGCTGTGAGTACCCCTGGTGTGGGTATGCTGTGTGCGCTGTGCTGCCGTGCATCTACACGAAGGTTGCTTGCAAAGTTGGCTTGCAAAGCAGACAGCAGATAAAATGAAGTGCTGCCACCAGGTTTATTGCCCATCTGAGGAGTTGTGTTGCTGTTCACTGGCAGAGATTCGCGGTGTCTGCATCATCGTTCACCAACAATGCAGCAGCTGAGGCGGGGGGTGCCATCCACATGGGCGGCAACTACACTGAAGTCGAACTGCAGAGCATTCGCTTTGCAAGGAATGCTGCAGTGGGGGGTGCGGGCGTGGGTGGAGCCATCCACTCTGTGAGCACCAAGTTATACCTGAATGTCACAGGGCGAACCATCTTTGAGGACAATATTGCAGCAGTTGGTGCAGGCTGCGATGTCAGGGTGAGTTAGCCGTCGTTGTCAGTGCTGTATTCCTCTGTTCAGATTTTTTGCTTTTAGAGACAGATCGGGACCCAAACTTGTCAGGGCACCCACAATCTTGCACCTGCCTGCGCAGAATCAAGAATGTCTGTGTTGCCAGCTTCCATGGCTTTTTGTGTGGTGCCTCTCTGAGGGAGTTTGCTTGCAATTCACAGGCATTGCATGTGAACTGCAGAGAAGCAGTTCAGCACGCTATCCCTGGATGCAAACTCTTTTGCAACCCTTGGTGTCAGTGAGTGGTGCCCAACTGCAGAAATGGTTTGTTGCTTGCTTGATTGCCTGGCAAAGCCAAGAATGGGTGATTTTAGGTGTGCTCTTGTTGTCATTTCTCATTTCTTTATTCGGGAAGATAGACGTAGGGTTCCAGTTTGGCTCAGCCAGCCCTGACATACTGATTGTTAGCACATTGATGGTCCACGTGCACTGTGGCATCAATTCTTGAGGGTGGCAGGAAGTCCACATACTGTGCAGCCCAGATGTGTATTTTCACCCCGCAACTTTGACATAGCAGGCTGTGAATTATCTTTGCTTGTAAATCTGTTGCAAGCGACATGCTGCAAAGCAACAGGTTTGTGTGCCAGCACAAATTCAACAGTCCACTGCGATTCCATGGATAGGATTTGAGTTTTGAGATGTGAATCATGGGAATCAGAGTTGTTGTCATTCTTAGTTTGTGTGAGTGCCCATCGTTACCCCGAGATGGTAATGGGCTACATAATGTCTTGGTTGAATTCAACTGAGAGTTGTTGTGATTTCCTTGGAACGTCGCAAAGTCTGTTCATGCTTTTGCAAATTGGGTCCTTGCTGTCGATTGTAACAATAGCATTCATTCCAGAACTGTACACCTTGACTGCTGGATGTAAGAAATGTACTATCCTGCACTTGTGCCAACAGTTTGCCATTGGAGGGAATCTGAAACTTCGAGACGCTCAGTTTCGTCGGAACCAAGCCATTATAAGGGGCGGTGGCCTCAGCGTGTCTTCATCTGCCTTCCTGCCTATTGTCCTCGATGGCGTCTCGTTCTCCTGGAATGAGGCCCAGCAGCTGGGCGGGGGCTTGGCACTGTCAGAGCTGAGGGAGATGAACATCACCATGTTGCATGCTGCCTTTTTCAACAACAGCGTGGTGGCCCATGGGGGTGCCATGAGCATAGATGTGAGTCACAAACACCCACAGCTCGACCTGTCAGCACCCATCTTTACTCCCCAAATTGTGGATGTGTCGCTTCAGTTGAGAGTCCAGGAAAGCGGCAGAGTTGCCAAATGGTGCATTTTCTAATTGTGTGGATTGTACAGAATGTTCTTGTTGTGCAAATGTGTGCAGTATTTAATGAAGAGGCTGACAAGCAGTTTATCGATCAAATGAATCTCATTTGCAGCGCAAGATTGGAACTCAACGATCGTTGTGCCGGTCACCACATGTCAAAATTCTGTATTTGTATTGTGTGCTTTGGGTAATGATGGGCGCTTTTGTGTTCAGGGGGATTGTCTTGACTGTGCAAATTGTGCACATTCCAGATTTCTGTGATCACTGGCAGCTGCATGGACTTTCTGCACATTGCAGCTGTCGAACATGGGACACTGGGTCCAAAGCTCTAGTGTGTGATTGCAAAGCAGCTCAGTATTTTTTTGAGGGCCCAGGTATGCCTGCCCACAAATTTTCTCTGTACGGTACATTGAGTCACTAAATTTATGTTTATGTTTAAATTTAGATTATATTTAAATTTATGTGTGATTTTGCTCCATGATTTGCCCATTTTCTTGATTTGTTGACATTTTTCATGATGTCAGGAACATCACAGCAGTCCTGTTGTGTGCTCTTCGTTGTAATGTTGTGTGTGTTGCACTGCCAGACCTCCTCCTCTCTGGGTCTGAAGCTGGTGGATGTTGAGTTCGCCGACAACATCGCAGGGGCCAATGGTGGGGCTGTACATATAGAATCCCACACTGCTATCCTTCGTGGAGGTGCCATCGATGCTCACATGGGCCCACAAGTCCGCTTTAGTGGAAATCAGGCACAGAGGGGCCATGGTGGTGCCATCTTTGTCACTGGGACAGGGGTGCTGGAGATTATGGGCGATGGCATCCAGTTTGATGACAACAGTGCAGTTCACGGTGGAGCCATCTCCTCAAATGTAAGTTTGGAAATTGCAGGTGATAGTTGGTTGTTGTGGAAAGGAGTGCCTGAATTGCAAAGGACCTGCCCTGCCTTAATCAGCATCTCCATATTCATATCCGCATTGTGGAGGACGATGCGAATGTCTTTGAGTGCAATGGGAGCAGCACACAATGGACGGAAGACTGAGCAATAGTGTACTAATCTTTGCAGTGCAAGTATCGAAAGTCAGTGCCCATTGGTGAAGAAAACAACCAGCCAACACTAAGCCCTGCCAAAATAGCTGCGATGCCATCATCGTACGATTGCCAAATGAGTGACTGGCTTTCATCTTGCACGACCACAGTCATCAGGGAAATGTGCGAGAGCCAATGGGGGTATTCCCTTGGTGGGAATCCTCATCGCTCTTGTTTGGGTGCTGCATGCTGCAGGTTTTCATAAACTCCATCTCTCCAAGCCGTTGTTTTCTTCCATGCCCTCACTGCATGCTTGTGCTTTGACAGCCATCCACAAATGACACAAGCATTACCTTGATGTCGACACTCTTCCTGAAGAACCAGGCGGACACCGGTGGAGGTGCCATTGAACTGGGTCAGGCAACCAAGCTGGCCCTTAAGTCCTCAGTGTTTAGGGCGAACACTGCCAACAGCACAAGTGGTGGTGCCATCCATGTGACCAGCTGCTCAGATCTCACAGTAGCAAACTCGACTTTCACAGAGAATGGGGCAAGGCTGGAGGGTGGCGCACTGTTCATTGAGGTGAGTTCTTTGTTTAGTTTGTGGGAGTGATGAGGTACGTGGGGGAGTGCACACACCTCGGTGAGAGACCGTCATGGCTCTCATTGCTGTGGCAATAAGGCTGGCTGGTCAAGGGTATTTACATGGCTCACCATGCAAGGAGCTCACTCGAATGCCCCTTTGCCTGAAACCTGGGCACTGGTGCAAGATGCCAGATTGTTGTGTCCAAACAGTTGTGTCTGGTAGTTTGATTTCATTTGGACATGGCTATTGAGCACAGCTTATCAATGGCTCATTCTGTCATTCTGGCCTTTGTTCCATCTGCCTTTGCATGGCTGTCCTTTATCAGCTCCAAGTTGATTGCCTATCATCTGCTGTGGCAATCTCTTTGTCTTATCATCTAGTCTACCTTAGCTTATTTGCATTTTTACGTTGAATGGATCTTTGTCCTCATCCATGTTTGGGTGTAGAGTATTCCCGATGCACAGTTGGTCTTTGGTCAATCTGCTCTTTGATGACATATGGCACTGCAGCACAGGATTCTGCAGCAGGCATGCACTTGCCGTGAGCCATTGAGGTGAAGGCCTGTCCTGGCAACACCAACCCTGATATTGGATTGCAATGCACAATATTGGCTGAACTGACACTCTGAACCAGTTAGCAATAGCCCAGGCCAATGATTGGGAGCCCCTGTTGCGGCAAGACACGTTGCACCTGTTCCAATGTTTGGCACATCCAACTGCAGCCTCCAGAAGACAGTATGTGGTTTCACCTTTGGCCTCAGCACAGATGATGCGCTTCTCACCACACCCTGTGCTAAACATTGATTGAGTGGGCAGTTACTTGCCATGTTTCACTGAATATTGTGAGGAATAGAAACAAGTCGATAAATAGTCCAGTGATATGTTGTTTGTTGGTGTGAAATTGGATGCGCTGAATATGGTGTTAAATTGGGGTGAAATGTACATGGGGACGACTGAGGCATAAATAGATGTGTTTGCAGTGAATGCTATTTGACTGGTCTACTCATTCTGTAACGCATCTGGTTAGGGCTTGGCTTCCCGTGCCTGGAAGCGACCGTGTGTGCAAGTGTCTTGGTTTTTCTTGAGAGCATGGTTAGCAATTGCTTACACGCTGCCAATGCCGATATAGTGCTGTAGTCAATGCTGCTGTAGTATTGTGCTGTTACTGTGGCATTGCTGAAGTATTGTTAAGTCAACCACGTGACACATGAGTGTCACCTTATGTTGCTGCATCTGGGGATTCAAGGGATATGAGTTCAGCATCACCCTGTTCATTGATCATCAAGCTCAAGTGTGGCAGTGATCGCGGCACTTCACAGTGGCTAACCTTCACAAAGCTGATTTGGCCTCTGAATGATGCCTGAAAATCAGCACACCTGTTGTGTCAGTGTAGAACTATCTGAACACCACCATTTGCCCAACATCGGGTTATGTCAGGCATGGGTGACAGTTGGTTTTACTTCATGCGATTACTATCAGCAACGCCTGACACTCGAAATACTACAACTGACGCTGCACTACTTCATGAATGCATTCACTGACATCTTACAATCTGTGCTTGTGATGCCAGCACTTCGACTCAGACCCCTCCAGGAAGGCCACAGTGTCCATATCAGGCTCCAGATTCATCAACAACAGTGCCGGCAGCATGCTGGCTGTGGGTGGCAAGCAGGTGCCCACGTCTGGCAGGGGAGGGGGTTGCCTCCTCAGGGGCAGTGCAGTCAGCAGCCGGGTGGTAGACAGCAAGTTCAAAGGCAACAAGGCGGCAGAGGGTGGTGCCCTACACTGGGCAGAGGGTGACATGCAGATCGACAACACCAGCTTTGTGGGGAACACCGCGATGCTGGGTGGCGCCTGCTTTCTGGAGCTCAGTGCACAAGGTAGGGGTGGGTTGGGGTGGTTGTATGTGGGGTGGAGGGATTGAATGTTGGTCATGATGTGTCTGTTGTATGCAGCGTGCATAGTTATGCTTTCTCTTCAAGTTTGTCTGCATTCACAATGTCCTTTCCCAACCAGCTCATGCAATCCCCAGCGAGTAGATGTGTCCTAAGTTTGCACTGCAAACTACTGCTCAGCTTGTGTTGCAAATGTTACAGCGTGGTTGAGGCACTTGGACTCTTAAATGTGGTGTAACATTGGAATCAGAAGAGAAATGTCCTGTGGACTGGATGATGATCACGATCTTGCACTCTGTCCCCAACAGTGGATGAATGCGTCCCTGATGTTCTGTAGGGGCAACTGGGAAGAGTGTGTCCTTAGTGAATGGATGTTGAAAGCTGTGGCTGTTGTGTCCGCGGGGAGCGGATGTGTTAGTACTGCGCACGAGCACGATCATTTGTCCTCAAAGTGTGTGCTTGCTTGCAGCCATTTAGTCAACTGTGAATACCCATTGCCTGTTCTCTCTTTTTGTCCCAGCAGGGGCTGAAGCCAATGGGCCAGTGATTGTGGTCCTGATGGCAGACTCCACCTTCCTGGACAATGAGGCGCTGCTGGGTGGTGCCATGTTTGCACACTCATCGGGCACCTGTGTCAAGGCCCTGAGCACACCTCCAGTGCAGTCCATCAACATCAGCTCTGGCTACTTTGCCAGAAACATTGCCAGCGAAGCGGGCGCCGCCCTCTACATCGGCGGGGTCAGGGTCAGCTGTCACGAATGTGCATTCTGGTCCAACAGGGTTTCTGGGGATGTGCGAGGGGGTTGCGGAGGGGCCATGAAGGCTGTGGACCAGGCCATCGCAAATGTGACAAACTCGGTGTTTTGGAACAACGGGGCGCCCAATGGTGGTGCCTTGTGCGTTGACAACTCTGTGTTCAACGGCACGCTTGTGAACTTCACGCGCAACCTGGCTATGCATAACGGGGGAGCTGTGGAGGTGTTGGGTTCAAGGTCGAAGCTGATCCCAGGGGATGTGCTGATGGGGTGCAGGGACTGCCACCTGATGGAGAACCAGGCAACTGACGGAGGTATGTGTTGAGCAGCAGTGTGGATACGTGCATGCATATCAACTGCTGCCTGTCTGTTGCATTTGAATGCTTGCTGTTCAGAGTTTGGAAGGCAGCAGGAGTGTGCTCTACATAGGCAGGGCCCAGCAGAACAGCTTGGTTGATTTTGCAGTTGCTGATCTCAGGGCTTGGTGTTACAATAGTTTCGTTTGTGGCAATCTGTGTGTGTGAGGCCAAGAAGAAGAGTACAAAATTGCCATGTTCACGAACAAATCGAGTGCCACTCCTTTCCAGCAGTTCATTGGTGGCAGAGTTGTGATGGTGGGTTGTCGAAGGCACACTGCTCAAAATTCTTCTGTGCACAATCGACGGTACAACTGTAGTCCACAGAATTCGGGTAATAAACTTGTGTTAGTCCTTGTGTGAGTGATGCAAAGTGCGATCAACACATCTGCAGCTCAGAACACGGAGGATTCCCTTGTCTCTCTGTGCAGGAAGGTATCCCATTTGCAATATGTTTCACCAGTGTGCTGATGTTCACCTGTGTCCTTTGAGGAACGAGCCTTGCATCCAACATGGGGCATGAATTGTTCAAAGTGACTTCACGGGAACACAACATAGATGGACCGGATATGACCTAACATGCTTGTGCAGATACCCCTTGTGCAGACTCAGGCATCGTGAAAAGAAGAACATTACAATATGCACTGGTGTGTTTCATCCCCAGGTGGAGTCCATTTCCTCGTCCAGAACTCGAGCAGCGCTGAGGTCTGCAACCAGCTGCAGGACAGCCCCTCCACCTTCGATGCCGTGAACTGGCTGCTGGTGTGTGGCGCCGATGGCACCCCCATCCGTGACCTGCAGATCCTTCTGGAAAACACTACGGTGCTTAACAACATGGCCACACGCTCCGGGGGCGCCCTCTTTACCAACGTGCCCGATGCCGTGCGTGTCTGCTGCAACTGCTCGATGAGCGCCAACCCCAGTCAGCTGCAGGAGGGCCTCTTCCTTGGGTCAAGCTTGCTGAAGGCCCTGGCCGGAGTTTGCACATCGCAGTGGGTTCCCAACATGGTTCTAAGCGAGGGTGTGGATGGCAATGTGTTTGGGACGTCCATCTCCCGCATCAGCCTGAGGCCGAGCTCAGTTGCGGAGCACAGGAGCGGCACTCCACTGGAGCCGATCCAAGTCGTGTTGCAAGACGAGTTTGACCAAGTCGTGAGGGACTCGAGGACGCTGGTCAGCGTGTCGGCGCCCTCCAACGACTCCATCAGGCTTCTGGGCCAGATCGTCAGCATGGCAGAGAATGGAGTTGCGGTGTTCGATGGTCTCATTGTGTGGGCCTTGCCGGGAACGTACACGCTGACAATGCGCTTCATGCCTGATGATCCCCTTAGCACGATCGAGCCTGTGCAGTTCACTGTAGCCATCCGGGAGTGTCTGGTGGGGGAGGTGGAGGCCGAAGATGGGTTCCAGTGCAAGGTGTGTTCATATGGCTTCCACGGTCTTGACCCCACCAAGGAGGAGTGCACCCCCTGCCATGCCAATGCCTTCTGCAACGGCACGACCATCACCCCAAAACTGGGCTTCTGGCACTCCAGCTCCAAGTCCACAGAGGTGCATGCGTGCATCGTGGCAGATGCTTGCCTGGCTCCAAGGGCCCGCCTCCAGGAGGCCGTGGGGAATGCCTCTGACGAGACTGTGTTCTTTGGGGACGAATACCCGCAGTGCACGCCAGGGTACGATGGTGTGCTGTGTGGCAGCTGCTCCGATGGCTATGGGCAAGTCAGGGTGCACCAGTGCAAGGAGTGCACATCGACGCTGGGCAGTGCAGCGGGTTTTGGGGCTGCAGTGATGGTGACTGTGCTGATTGCTGCCATCTTCATCAGACGCACTGACCATGCCTCTGCCATGGCATTCGAACGCATGCACCTGAACCACGCGTCTGTCAGGGAGCCCCTCCGGGGCCCTCTGAGGCCACGGAGATCGTCCTTCTTGGGCATGACCAGCTTTCCATTGTCTTTGCTGCCGGGCTTCTCCAGCACCACGATCGAGATGGTTGGTATGGATGGGGAAGGGGACCCAGCAGAGAGCAATCTGGCTGGCCTTGTGGATGGCACAGCGACATCGGATGGGGGCCAGAAATGGAACCACAGGTCTGAGGAGGCACATCGCAGATCTGTTCGAGTTGTGGAGATCCTCAAGGTGTGCTAGACAGATCACTGAGACACAGACTGTGGCAGTTCTGTTGTGAAGAACAATGAAAGACTTCAACAATGTTCATATGGGCTCATTGGGGGCCACATGCAGCAGTGAAGCAGCTGGGCTGTGGCTGGAGGGTATGGGGAAATGAGCTGCACATGGCTGTGGTGTTGTTGTTGAAGGGCAAGAAAACACAAGTCCAGCCCAGATATACTGGCGTGTGTACCAACCAACAGCATCTTGCCAGCAGAATCAAATATTTCAACTATTGTTTGTGATGCTGCCAGCATTTTAGCGTCCCATTGCAAGACAGCCCTCTCTGTGTTGAAAGGACTAACAGAAATTATTGTTGTGATTCCCTTGACTGACTGTTGTGTGATAAAAACTATCATCTTTAGGCTGTGCTTGCCTGCCTGACTCCTGGTGCCTAAGACATTCTCTGCATGCATGAGCACTTGACCAGGACAGTAACAACCCTGCCCTTGCACCATCTGTTCTGTTTGTGCTGACCTGTACTTGTGCTGTCATGTACTTGCAGATCACGGTGAACTTCCTTCAGGTCACAAGTGCTGCCGCCCTGCTGCGTTTTAACTGGACCACTGTGATGATTCGTATCTTGGATGTGCAAGGTGTGTGGGTTGGCATGGCCCTATGCCCTTGCGTGTTTATGGCATGGGAGTTCAGTGTTGACTGAACGAAAATCACAACAATCTGCTGTAGATCAAATGAACAACAGCAGCAATAACAGATCAAAAGTTCGCCACAAGCTGTCCCGGATCCGCGCTAGCCGTTTGGGTTCTAACACAGGTAGCAGCTCAACAGATCATGGAGTTTGCACTGGACCTTCTGCACTGCACATTTGTGAAAATACATTGCAAAATACTCCCTGTGATGCTTGAAGGGACAAGTGCATCTATTTAACTTTGGTGCCGTGACTCTCTTCAGTAGTAATTGCTTCAATTGCTGTGATTTTATCCCACTGCAGCTGACAAAGCCCAAACAAAGGGCAGCAAAATGTCACACTGGACAAAATGCACTCAAAGGTATTGATTAAAAGTATGTTGCAGTCACAAGCCTGTACGGAAGGACCATCAATTCCATACAACAGCTCTAACAAGCCCGTGGCACACACCTTTGCAGACCTCCTCTCTGGCTTCTCCAATGGCAGTGGTCTCTTCTCCCTGGAATGTCTGTTCCCATCTGGCCTCCCAGTTCCAAAGTCCATCCTTGCCATCTCCATCGGCACCATCACGCCCCTGCTGCTGGCTGTGATCTGCTGCCTCTCCTGGCTGCTCGCCACCTGCATGCGGCGCTCTGGCTGGCTGCACCTTGTGCAGCGCTTGGTCATGACCTACCTGGTGGTCGTGTACCTGGCGTGGTGGGACACCTGGAACCGCCTGTTTCGGGTGTTCCACTGCACAAAGGCAGACGTAGGCGGGGGCCCCTTTGCCACCGCAGGCTCGCGCTACTGGCTTGAGGACACAGACGTGGAGTGCTTCAAGGACGGCCACCTGCACATGGCCATTGGACTGGGCCTGCCAACCTTTCTGGTTCTCAGCCTCACCTGGGGCTTCATGCTGGGGTATCTGGTGATGGGCGTGCGGCGACACAGGTGTGTGCGCATCCTTCGATTTACTTCCGCTTGTTTTTCCTGATTTTGCTTTTTTGTCCTTTGTTTTGTCGTTAGCCTTTGTTTGTCTGTTTTGTCATGTCTTTTTTGTTCAACAACGGTGGCAGGTACTTGGAAACCACCCAGAAGCGCATAAAGGTAACGTATCCATCTGAATGGACAGTCCCAAGCTGTCATAGGAATCAGTTTTCTAGTCTCTTCTTACCACCCAGGACTTTCAACGTGCTCAATTAAACTACAACCATCAGCTGCCCCTCCACAAGCTTGCCCCGAGTACATGCCTTGTATTTGCACATTCTGCACTGGAGTCTGGTCCTTTCCTCTTCATTCAGGGACTTACTGTTGTTCATGGAATGGAAACGGGGCTAACAGTGATTTTCTTTGGAAAGAGGATGTCTATTTTCCTGCATGTTAGCCTGCGTGCTTGTCTTTTTTTTGTGGATTCTCTAATGTTGCATCCTTCACGGGAGTGCACATGATCGAGTCCTTTGTCACAGGGAGCCTTCCTGGCTGCGCAGGGACCGTCAGTACAATGTTGCCATGTTCGGCTTCTTCTATCAGGGCTTCAGGCAGGAGCGGTGGTACTGGGACGTGGTGGTGATGCTACGCAAGCTCATCCTTGCTGGCCTTGTGGTGGCCAGCTACGACGATGAGCACGGCAGTGAGGAGAACATCGCAGGGGTGTCTGCAGTTGTGCTGCTGGCCATATCCCTGGTTGCTCAGGCCTATGCTATGCCCTACCGCGATTTTGCAGCCGACCTGAACCAGCTTGAGATGGCCTCTGTGGCATCATCCCTGATGGTGTTCCTTTCTGGTGTCATCTTCAACCATGAAGAGCTGTCACAGATCGGCAGGCTGGCGTTTTCCACGCTCGCCATCTGTGCCATAGCGGCCACCTTGGGGATGGTCCTGTACAAGTTGGTGAGGGCGGGGAGGGGTTCGGGGGCCAAGGGGGAGGTTTCCGGCAGCTGGGTGGGGTCGTGGTTGGCTCGCATGGGCTTGAGGTGACGAAGGTGGTTGGCATCCTGGACGGATGCAAGGGTCAGCCATCCGCTGGCCGGGACTGCGGGTGAGTGCCTTCTGCAAGCACGGCTGGACTAGTTGCTGACCGCAGCCTTGCGAGTTAGCTCTGGCAGCGTGGTGGGTGTTAGGCTTTCTCAGCAGAGCTCTGTCAATTTCCGATGGCAGCACAATGAGTCAAGTGCTGGCAGAAAGGGCCGTGGTTCAGGTGCTGGGAGCAGGCTTCATGTCAGGCATGGATGGCAGAGCTGTGTCGGGCGTCTGGCTGCAGGACTGTGGGGCAGTTTCAAGCGGCAAGGGTGTGTGCTGTCTGTCCAGCAAACCTCCCCCCCATATGGTTTGCAAAGCTGTGATGGGTGTGGCCAGACGGGGTGGAACAGCTCGAGTGTGCACAAAACCGAATGCATGGAAGAACAGATGGGGCTGAGGTAGGGATTTGTAGGTGCCTGGAAGTGCCTAGGTGTACATTTGACGCTGTGGCGTGCCTCTGTAGGTTTGACTATAGGGTGTAGGGACATTCGTTTAGGGGAGGGACGGGGTCCTCCAATAAGGGCATTTATTGTGATACACTCATTTTTTATTGCTTGTGTTGACTTGGCTTGGCTTGCAGACTTGGTAACTTGGCTGCACAGCTGTAAGAATTTGTGGACATGATGCATTGTTGGTTCCTGATGGCTTGCCAAACTCTCCCTCGCTGCAGCATCCCCTTCTTGCTCAAGGTTGCATATCTGAGGTGCGAGTCTCCCTTGATTCCCTGCCTTCAGAGTAGGTTAAATGTATTTGATGCTGTATTCTTGCTTGCTTGAAAATTTTCTGTTCAAATTTTCAGGAGTCAGTGGCCTTGCACCAATCAGGTGCCGGACCCCTCAGTGTACTCAGTACATTTGATAATGAAGTTTTGTCAACACAAAGGCTGGGTGCCCTCTTGCAACAATGCACAATGGGCACAGCTGTTGATCAATCCAGCTCCATTGATGGACGCTCGATCCGTGCTGTCACATCAAAGACTGCGTGCTGAGTAAGTCAATCAATCATAGCCGCACAAGGGAGGTGAGGGCGTCACCAACTCCCTGTCGAGAGAGGCCACCATACTTCCGTCGAACATGTCACTGCCACTGCTTTGCTGGAGTGGAACAGTGGGGTGATGTTGACATGCAGCTTGTTGTGGATTGAGATTCCAGCCTTAGGCTCTGCACCACTGAATTCCCCACAAAAGCATGATCGGAACAACAAAATCACAATAACAAGCACAGAAGCATTGGAACAGCGGCTCTACTACCAGAGGTTGGCTCATCCATCTGAGCTTCTTGATTGCCATTTGATGGAATCCCTCCAACAGAATCCTTGAACACCAACTCATCGTCATAATCAGCATTTTACAGAACAAGGCAATGAGGCAGCCGTCAGCTTCCTATTTTGCCCGAGCAAAGCAACGTCCATGGTCAGTTCATTGAAGTCTGATGTAAACACAAACGAAGTCTGCAAATCTATGAATCTCACCGATCTCACCGATCCCACCGATCCCACGGACCCCATGCACGTACAAAACCGCCTTGACGTTTCGACGGACAGGGCGCACATCATCCACCGCATCAAACTGCCGCGAACTTCCCACTTCCCGCCGAACCGACGGTCACACAGTGAACTCCCCTCCCCATGATGACGCGACGCTCCCTCCCCCCCCGCGTCCCCCGTCAAAACCCCTCCCACCGCCTCACACAGCCCTCTGCCCACCCGCCGGCGACCCCCAAGCCCAGGACAGCGCCAGCGCACCCCCAACGCACCCGCCCGCTTCCCAGCCACCTCTGCCTGAAAGTCTTCCCGCCCGCCCACCCCCCCCCCTCCCCCTCCTAGCTACCCGCCAATGGCCGCGGACGGCTCCGTCGAAGTTTGCGCCCCGACCGCCCCGTCGATGGATTCCCAAGCCCCCCCGGACGCCTCCAGCGTGCCGGTCTTCGGATCGGATGCGCCCCGCGCCGGTCGGGCGTCCGATCCTGACCAGGACGTGCGCGCCAAGGCGCCGCGCAGGGAGAGGCGGGCGGGGGATGAGGGGGGCCCGGAGGGCGAGCCCGAGGAGCCACTGCGCGGGCTGTACTTCGTGCGGGTGCCCAAGCCGGATTTGGGCGATGAGGCCACCGTGGCGCGCCTGGAGCAGGAGTTCGAAGTCAGGGCCGCGGCGGCGGAGCTGCTCAAGGAGACGCGGAGGCTGAAGCGGGTGGGTGTGTTGGAGGGCGGGGGCATTGCATCGTGTGAAACTTGTGCGTCTTGGGAATGTTGCGCGCCTTGAGCGGTCCGGATTGGGAGAGCTGCGCGTCGACAGGGCGGGGGTTGGGACTTTTCCGGCTGGGGTGGCTGCAGGGATGGCCTCTTGGGTGAATGGGCCTCGCCGGTTGGGGCAGGGGAGGGGGGGATTTTCATCTTTGAGGGGTACCAATTGGGAGGAGCTGCGCGTTGGGTCTGCGAGGGTTGGGATTGGCTTGGCGGGGACGGGCGCATGGATTGGGTCGCGGTGAAGCGGGGTCGCCGGTAGGGACCAGGGGGTTGCTGTTCGAGTGGGGCAGCCACAGAGGCGCCCTTGGTAACCGCGGCGGCGTCCTTGGCATAGCCGAAGCGATCTTGTGCGGCTTCGCGATTGGATCCTGTTGCTGAGTGTTTTGGTGGCTCGCGCGGCGGCTGCAGATTGAGAGGAACGAGGCGCACGCCAACACGCGCCGCGCGCTGGAAGCGCTCAAGGCCGCCAAGGCGCTGGTCAAGGCTAAGGAGGCAGACCTGCAGCCGTACTGGGACAGGGTGGTCGAGGCGCGCAGCGCCAGCCAGGCCCTGAAGGGAAGCCGGTCGGAGCTGGATGCAGAGACGGAGGCCGACCTGGACAAGAAGATCGCGGCGCTGGAGTACAGCATGGAGCACGAGAGCCATGGGCTGCGTGAGGAGAAGGAGCTCATCGCGCGCATCAGGAAGCTCAAGGCGCAGAGGCCCAAGGTGGGCGAGCCGGCGCGGAGCCCTGCGATGCGTGCTGCTGTGATTGCAGCTTGGCCCTGTGCATCCCGACGGTCCCCCTCTGCCGTCGTTGTTGCCCTTCAAGCGCTTGTCGTTGCCCTTAACCTTGTTGGGCACTTTCCGTTTCCTTGAAACCCGCTTGGGCGCGGCGCACGCGTTCTGCCCAAGTCTCACAGAGGGGGGCACCCAGCTACCTCGCTCGAATCTGTGTTGCTGGACCTGTGGGGGAGTTGAGCCGGACCCTCACCTCGGCTTGCTGCAATGTCTTGAAGGTTCGGGAATACGAGGCCGCCCACCAGCACCTGCAGGAGAGGCGGGTCGCCTCTGACGACGTGCGGGGATCAAAGGAGAGCCTGGAGAAGGAGCTGCGGGTGCTGCGGGACGAGCGCAAGCAGTGCGAGGAGGTGAAGAAGGGGCTGCTGGCAGTGGAGGAGAAGATCATGGAGGGGCTCAAGAAGATCGAGGAGGAGGTGGACGAGGCGGTGACAGAGAAGAACGCCTGGCTGAGCAAGCTCAAGGAGGCCAAGAGTGCCCGCTGGGCGAAGATGGCTGACTGGAACCAGAACAGGGACTTCAGCAGAAAGGTGGGGATGTTGAGCATCTCAGATGTGGTGCCAGCACCGTGTTTCAGCTTGAGAACTATGAGGTCCATGTTCAGTTGTCCATCTGTTCACTTGCAGGAGGGGCTGCCACTAGGCCTTACGCCGCACGGCACTTGTATGTATCCTGTTGCATGCATGTGCATGTGTGTATTGCTGTATTGCATTCCATAATTTATTTCTCATGCACAAACTAGGTTCCCCTGCATTTACCTCAGGGTCTGGGCACCCAGTTGTTGTCCTGCTTCAGTATGTTGCAACAGATGTTGCTCTGTTATTCTCCGATATGGTTCAATGCTATTGCCAGGCTTGGCACAGATGCCCAAGTATACCGGCTAGACAGTTGCGACAACTTGCCGTGCGTGGCATTTGTGGGGAATGTTGCGAAGCAGTGGCCTTCTTGCAGGAGGCAACACCAGTTGTCCTCGTGCAGCCCTCAGCGGTGCCTCATGCAGTCAGGTTCCATGCCTGAATGCCCGGACTTCTGACTGTGGGCGTAGGTCAGGAACATGGTGGCCGAGGGGCGCATAGAGGAGGCCCAGGTGCTGTGCAACGAGTACAGCGAGAAACTGATGGAAAAGCTGAACACCGACAAAGAGTACCGGACCAAGTACCTGACGCTGTGGGAGCGGCAGCGCAAGACGGCCATGGTCACGACAGGCGTCAGCGACGCTGATCTTGGCGTGGGTGGGGCGAAGCGGCAAGGAAAGAAGGCTGCTGCAGGGTCCATCCTTGACATACCACTAAAGCCCGGCCAGACAAGGGCTGAGGCTGTGATCGAGCGGGCGCTGAGGGAGGCAGACGCGGAGCTGAAGGGCATCAGACCAGCTGATGCTGGGGCGGCTTCTGCAGATGATGCAGAGCCTGCCGAGGTGAAGGTTGCCAAGAAAGACAAGCCTGCGAAGAAGGTGGCTGCGCCAAAGGACATGGGACGGTCTCTGGTGGTGGAAGACAAGGCGGCTGCCAAGGCATCAAAGGTGGACACTACTTTTGAGATCCCGGAGGCGATCCGTGCCAAGGAGGAGCTGCCGGTGGTGGTGGCGCCAAAGGTGGCGCCAAAGGTGGAGGACCCCGAGGAGCTGCAGAAGCGGAAGGACAGGCGGAAGGCCCAGGCCGAGAAGCGGCGGCAGCGGGCGATCGAGCAGAACAAGGTCCGGGAGGAGGAGAAGAGGCGGCTGAAGGAGGACTCAGAGTCCAAGGCCGCTGCGCGGCGCAGTGCGCAGGTTGATGTGGCGGCTGACATAGAGGCTGAGTCCACCCAGCCCGAAGGCAAGCAGGAGAGCAAGGTGATGCAGAGGAGGCTGCCTGCCCAGCCTGCGGTGAAGAAGGTGTTTGACACCGGCCGGAAGCCTGCGCCAAAGAAGAAGAGGCAGGGAGCCAAGGGGGCCATGCAGCCGGTCACCGACTGGGTCAAGAAGAACCCGATCGCCGTTGGGGTGGGCAGCTTCCTGGTGCTGATGCTGTTCATTGTGCTCATGTGGATGACCACTTGAACAGGTCAAAAAGGATGGCGTGGTGTTGTGGAGCCCTTGCCATCGCATCACAGTGGCGCATGCACTGTTGCAGGGGGGCATCGCCTCAAGTTATGAATTCTTGGCAGCTGGCGCTTGTGGCTGGCTGCGTCTTATTTTGGCCCTTGGAATGGCTCAGGTCAAACGACGCTGAAACCGCAGCGGCGGGAGGAATGCTCCTCCGCGGGAGGTGTTAGGTGTAGATAGCAGCTTCGACGGTGCAGGCCCCTGCCTGCCAATAAGGGAGACAATAAGAGGGGCGGCGTTGATGCTTGTGGGTGTGCTGTCGTGCACCCGAAACGGCTCTGTCTCCCCAGGGCGCATCCTTTCTTGCGTGAATTTGCTGGAACGTTGTGGGTCTTGTTGCAGCAGGGGGGACTTGCACCCGCGCAGTTGCGGAGGGTGCGTCTGGTTTTGTGCATCGCTATGGTCGTCGTGTCCAATTCCGTGGCGAGCAAGCCTCCTGGTGGTCACGAGGGGGCCGACTCGGAGGTTCGTGATCATTGGTGCGCAGGAACGCTCTTAAGTGTGCATGGCTCCTGTGGATTTGATCACGTAGCAAAGAGGAGCAGCTGTGCAGGGGATTCCGTGCAATTCAAGAACTGCTGCTTACGTGGCAGAATTCCATGCTCTTGGAAGGAAAGGCCGTTGATGCGATTCAAATGGCCACCTCTGGAATGCACACAGGAAGGGCGAATCCACGATCGCCGATGCTTCAACAGCCTTGACACGCAGCCACACGCAAGGCCGCCACAGCCGCGCACAAAACGCTTGGCGCTTACATATTTGTTTGCCCTTCCCACAACGAAGAGCCTTGCGGACGGTGGCAACGACCCCTGCAATCGAATAGTTCGAATCTCCTTGCACGCACAGAACTCTTCTTCTCACATGACAAGGACCATCATCCATCACCAACCAGCCATATGACACTTGAGATGCGCACCCATCGCCACAATGCAACCCACTCCATCAAACATACGCCAAAGGTGCCCATACACTCAAGGGTAATGTAGAAATGTTTCAATTGCGAGCGCGACCCCAACCATAGCGTTTGGCTCTGAAACAGATGGCATCTCCCACAACAATCAAATTGATGCTCACAAACGTCCCATCGTAAGAGAAATAATTCTGTGAATTTGCTCGGGTCACCAATAATGAGTCCATTATGGCTCAATTATGCGCCATTCAGTTGCGACAAGCTGGTGCCCCGTGAGGCCCAGAGTTGGGTGGCATGGGACTCCAGTATGGGGGAGCCATGGCCAGCCCGGGTGGAATCGTATGGACGACACGGCCCTTTGGGACGGTATCGGCAGCATCGGCTACGGCGACAGGACCCAGGGTCAGCGACAACCCGACAGAAACTCTCACGTAACCTGGCCAACTAATCAGCGCAGCCCCGGAAGTACATCGGAAGCCACGCGACTCGGGGGGGCTCTGCGCCACCCCCAGGGGCAACGAGTCCCCACACCGCCATGCAGTTCCTGCCCGCGGGCAGGCGACCCACTCTACGCGTCCAGGGGAAGGCAGGGAAGGATCCTGCCGCGGAAAATCGGAGCAATGCCCACTGTGGGATCGGGCGGCTCCGTGCGCACCCATGGGCCGGCGATGGAGGGGTGCAGCCGCACGGTGGTCTCACGCACCCGTGCCGGGTTAGCCCCCTTCCGCCGGGGGAAAGCGACCGCCTCCCTGAGGCCTTTCAGTCTGCCCATAACGTTTGCAGGGCAGGGCCCTCTCGGTCCAGAGCCCCCGACCCCAAAGCCCCGGACCCGAGTAGCTGGGACTCGATGGTCCGGGCGGGTGCAGACTGCGCGCAAGGCCACCCGTGCCAATCTGAGCCGGTGGGTTTACGGAGGAGGGGCTTCCCGCCGATCTGACCGGGAAAGGTTTGTGGCGGCGCCCCTGTGGGAGAAACGCACCGGCCCGGAGGCCTGGGCGGGGCAGCGAGGGGGTTTGCGGGGTGGCCAGCTCCGCGACTCCACGGACGGGCCCCGGAGATGACTCAGTGGGAAATGGGCGTGGGCGCGCTGTGATGAGGAATCGCGGTAATCGGTGGCAGAATCGGGCGGTATCGGGCGCTGTCATTTTGGACTGTATGTTGTGGCATCGTGGGCTGCACGGCAATGAGCCAGTTTGGGTACACGCCTTTCAGGCGATCATTATGGGGAGAAGGCGGTCATTAAGAAGCGGAGATGATACAGGGTAATGCGGAATTAATTTAGGAAGCGAATGGTATTTTCAGTTTTTCATTTGGTGAAGAATTGGGAAAGTTAGGGGATTTTTTTGAGATGCGCCGGATGGCCACAGGAAACCAGGCTGTTCGGAGCGCCTGGGAGGTGACTGATGTGACTGACGATCAGTAGGGGGGTGCGGACTGGGTGTTGTGCGATGCATGCATGAGATCCATGCGGGTTCCGACGGTGTGCGTGAGCAGCAGCCCTCCGTGCCGCCAGTTTGCTGTGCAAGATGTCTGGCGCTCCGAGCATCCCTTCGCATGCTCCTTGCCTGGACAAGGTACTGGAGTGGAGGCATGCGCAGGCCTTGCCAGGCCTGAATGAGGTCAAGGACCTCTGCGGACAGTTGGAAGAATTCCAGGTGGCGCGTCTGGCGGCTCCTGAGGTGCATGCATCGGGGTCGAACGGACAGCCCCAGGAGGACACGGCATGGTGGCGGGCGCGAGACCTCCAGAAGGCTTTGTTGGAAGTCTGGGAGGCATCTCTTTCAGACGACCGACATATATACGCTGCGGTCCAGACGGCGGGCATGGAGTTGCAGCTTTCGCTGGACATGTGCAAGATCGCCCCCGCTGTGAGGGCAGAAATTGCGATGCAGTTTGAGACCATGTGTTACATGGGACTCAAGCCAGCCTGGGACGTAGCACGGCGGGATGTGGAGGTCTCCGAGCTGTGGGCGTTGGACAACAAGCCTGTGATGTGATTTGGAGGGCGCTTACAAATATTGAGGATGACATTCGGGCAGCGAGGCTGAGGGTCATCGACGAGTTTTTCCACCAGCGTTTGGCGGTAAGCTCAGTGGAGGAAGCGCTGGCGGAGGACAACGAGTTGCGTCGTCTGGATGAAGATCGCTCGTTCGTGATGCGGCTGCCGCCCACACCCCCAAGACAAGATTTTCGTTCGCCTGCCTTGCGAAGGGCCATAGGCGAATGGCATGCCCGCGACATGGACATCAAGGAGAAGTGGAGGTTTGACGCCATACGAGTGGAGATTCAGGGGTGGCTCCAGGGCCACAAGCCCATTCGCCCGATCATGAGGAGATTCGCCATGGGGCGGCCCAGCCGCCGGGACCCGCCAGTAGGTTTTCTATTGATGTGACAGGTAGACCCTGACTGGACCGTATATGGGGATCAAGGGGATGCCCAGGGGTTGACGGGAGGACACCTGGGAGATGTTTTTGCGTTGAAAGTGACATATTAAGGGGGAGTAGGATCAGTTGAGTCTGGTGAATTGGACGGTGGGGTGGAGCGTCGGGTCAGAAGGATAGAGAATCGAGATGTGAGGCTGTGGTGAGATCTGGATTTACCCTTGGACCGTTGAGTGAACCTTTTTGGATTTTGTCGTATGAGAGAACATGGGAGATGTATAAGAAGGCGGGGGTGCGCATTGTAGCCGCCCCCGGTCTGTAAGAGTTTTCCTCCTTACGACTGGTGCACCACAACAGGCCGCCTCTCGAGTCGAGGGTGGGACCTGGAGGTCGGGCGGGCGGTTTCCTGGAAAGGGATAAGCCCAGCGTCCTGTGTGAATCGATATCCGGTGATATACGGCGCGGTGTTACAGTTTCCGCATGTCGTATTCCACTGTGCGTGCCCCGGAGGGTCGTGCCATCGGTCGGCACCGATCTTTACAAATTCTAATACAGATATTTCTTTTCTTTTGACATATTTAGAATTCCTTGCGTATAAACCATGTTCTTGAAGTGCAGACAAGTCACACACCATGATGCATAAGTGACCCACCCAGTGAAACGGTGGTCACTATGCGGGACAATGCTGCGAACAATGCTTCGATCATCGGCACATTAGTTTTTTCAATGGCAGATTGCCAGCATCAAGATTACATCCGCGAAGGGCGCTACCATAACAGCTGCATCCCACTGCTCTCGTGCAGTCTCCTCTCTGAAATCGTTGTCTTTATGCTCCAAGTCGCAAACAAAAAAGCAAACGAGCATCTGGGCAGTTGGTGCACCTCGACCCCTGCAGCCAAACCTGCAAAGTTTCATGCATCGAACAGTCAAGTGTCACGGAGGCTTACAACTTACGCAGGCTCGGAGAACCGAGCTCACAACATCAATAAAGAAACGTGCCCAACATGCACTGCATCGACCCCAGGACCCCGGCCAGCCGCGCTCCCCATGACGCCACGGGCCTTCAGGGCGCTGGGCGTTGGCGCCCGGCATGCGCAGAAGGCGCTGGCCCGGAAGCGCTCGCCGGGCCAACAGCGCGGCCGCCGCCGCCCCGCGCGGTGCGTGATCGACGTGGCGGAGGCGGAGGGCCGACGGCGGCGCGGGGCGCCGGTGGACATCAGCGTTCTGACGCAGGCCAGCCTCAAGGTGGCAAAGAGGCACCTGGAGGAGGCGGACCCGGGTGAGCAAAGGAAGAAGAAGAAGAGGGTTTCCTACCTTTATACATGCCCACGGCGGTGCCATGCACAGCTTTGTCGCAACACCAAAGGCGTATGGAACTGTCGCAATGTGTCCGTTGGCCACGTCCAGGCCCCCCCACGGCTGCCGCACGGCGGGGATGCGCGTGAGCTGGAGTGCCTGTGATGCATTTGGCCTTTCGAGGCGGGAACGGGGCTCTTGCACCTTGCAGGCGATGACTGCTTTATAAACACATCCATCCTAGACGTTTTTGCTTGGGCCCGTTTGTTCGTTCGTTGGATTCTGCACTGACCGCTCGTGTCCGGCACACGTAGGCGACGAGCAGCGGATAGGCCGATGGGGCGTGTGGGCGCGGCCTCTGTGTCCGGGACGGGGATAGGGGCCGATCACTGCGTGCTTCAGGCGTCTGCGTGGGATGTGGTATTGGTTCTGGTCAGTGGGGCGTCAGCAAAGATTGATTGCCCCGGGATTGCGGTCAAGTTTCATGCAATGTATCCCAGCGGGTGTATCTGATCAGTGGGTAAAACTGCCCAGCGGTGCATGTGCCCAGCGGGTAGGGCCTGCTTCTGTCTTGGATGTTTAGATGGCCGCTGGGGCTGTTTGACTTGGCGAGTGACCGGCGGTGACGCTGCGGCAGTCCTGGCGCCCATCATACGCGACAACGAGGAGCCGAAGTTTCTGCTGCGGAAGGACGAAGGCGACAGCTGCTTCACGTCGCTGGCGAAGGGCATATTGTACCAACAGATATCCATAACGGCGGGCAGCGCCATCGTTCGCCGGCTGAAGGACGCGTGCGGGGTGAGAGCCGTGCGGTCGTTTGACCGTATTTGGTTGCACTTGTCGAGAAGTTGAAAACCACAGCATATTGACAACCTACACGACCCCCGTTGTGGTCGTGACCGGCATGGTCAGGGCTTCCCTTGAGCGGAACAGCTGGCCCTAAGCGATAGCCACGGCCCCACAACTCATTGCAGTACAGATTGCAAGATGTTGCCTGGCGCAATAATGGCCTGGGCCTCTAAGGTCGTCTTTGCTTGGGCATGTAGGGGGCAGAGATGGTAACACCTGAAGTTGTGTTGTCATTGGATGAGGAGTGCATGAGGACAATCGGGGTGTCTGGGCGCAAGGTATGGCTAAAATGTCAATTTGTGGAAATCCGTTTCAGAACAATCAATTTGAGTCTGTTTGCGTTGAGTATTTCAATCAAATGTCTAGTATATGTTTAGTATTCCACCTTTGCATGCCAAAGATCTTCATGGTCCATTTCTGAATTTAGTCAATTCATTGAAAGAATTGAAGAAACATGTCAAACCAATGTCTGGCATTTGTGCTGTTGGTCAGGCGAGCTATTTGAAGGCGCTGGCTACAGAATTCGCCACCGGAACCTTGACCGACGAGGGATTAAGAAGTAAGGCACCTTGCATTGGCAGGCAATGACACAGCCTTCCATTCTGAATTGGAATCCATTGATTTTATGCAGAACGCGATAATATGAAATCAGCATGCGTTTACTATGGATTGTTGACTGTGGCCTGGCTGGTACTTCGTGTGTCTTTGCTATATCCGTGATGTATATGCTGTGTTCATGCCGGCACTGTGTTCTTGTTGCTCTCATGTCCCCCCTTGTTGTTGTAGGCATGCCTGACGAGGAGCTTCGGGAGGCACTGACGAAGATCAAGGGAGTTGGGCCTTGGACAGTGGACATGTTTTCTATGTTCTACCTTGGTCGACCGGATATCCTGCCAGTCGGCGACTTGGCGGTTCGCAAGGCGCGTAGCTCGTCGACGCGCTTGACATGTCGGAGCACTGCTTTCGACACCCTGCTCGCCTCGAGGTCTTCCCCATGCACCTCCAACACACATCCCCAACAATACCCACGGTTTCAACAACACCAACAAACTAGACCTCCAACAACAACAACTCGTGCAAAACCTCCAGTGCAGCACTGCTTGTCGAATCCACAAAGTAGAAGCATGCCAAACAGGGCTGCTGCGTCTCTAAAGGAGTGTCGCGCGGAGCGAAATCCGGCCAGTGTGTTGTCGACTCCTGATCTCGTGATCATAGTTTCGAATGCCCCTGGCTGCGCAACTTACACAGAGTCGCATTTGACGGAAAATTTGCCTGCAAGGTTGTTCTGCTGACCATCGCCCTGAGCAGTGCTCAGCATATCCTCGTGGGTGCAAGTGCGCTGTTTTGTGATGTTTCACAAACAAAGTCGACGGGACTTCGCGCAGCTGCAAAGCTGACAAATGGCTATTTGTTGGGCACCCCTTTGCGGCCAGCCGCCCCTGGCTGGCCAATGTTGCCACACAATCCAGCACAATGTGGGATATTGTCCACAGGCGACCTCTTTCAAGTCAGGATTGCCCGTCAAGCACGTCCCACAGTGCGGCAGCCCTGGGAGTAGAACCCTCACAGCAACGCAGCAAAGAGCTGCAAATGCAGGGCTGGTAGGGCAAGTTCTGACAGGGACAGTTCCTGTAGTTCGTTACGCTCATTGTAGCTTAGTTTCATTTTGTTTACTTTAGTTCTTTTAAGTTCCGCTTTCGCCTGGATTGCTTCGTTGAGTTCAGGCTTCTTATGCATATTCATTGCTCCCCACAGGGACTGAAGGTCCTTTACAATCTGCCTGAGCTGCCTGGCGTGCCGGAAATGGAGTCCATCACTGAGCAGTGGAGGCCCTTCAGGTCCGTCGGTTCGTCTTACATGTGGAAAGTGGAGTCCGAGAAGGCGCCAAGAAGTCCCGGCAAGTCAAAGGCGACCAAGCAAAATGGGAAGTCGCCAGTGTCGCGTAAGAGTAAAGTGCCTGTTATGTAGAGGGCGTCCTGGTCCCACAGGATTGCCCATAGAGAGTAGCCATAGTTACCGGTCCCCGCCAACGGACTGACGCCGCTATATAGAGCGACCTTATTGTTTGCCCAAGCACCGTGTCACGGAGCTCTGTGCTGCTGGCGCAATTGAGGCTTGTATGGGGAGCCTGGATGAGCAGAGATGGGGGGTGGAGTGCCGAAAATTTCAGTATTTTTTCATTCTTTCGTAGATTTTAGCTTTGGGTTGCATTGGTTAATTTGACACCTGATGGACCCACAGTAGGCTTCTGTGGGTACCGTCTGCCCACACCAGCCAACCACTGGTTGATGCGAAGACAATTATGTGGATCGGCATGTCCTCCAGAGTCACTGACAGTTCCCGAGTCTTCTTGAACTGCTGTACTGCTGAGGCATCTGCATCGCCTTGCTGATCGATGTGGTGATGGATGCTCGGCACCGCCATCTTGATTTCACCTCAACAAGACCTCATATCCATGGGTGGGCCACAGGATTGGCGCCTGTAAGGTGAGATGTGCATATTTCTGGAAAACCTTTTGTCAGCGAGTCAGCGTTGGGGAACTGGGCAGACCTCCGAGACTCACTGTGGCTTGAATGATTCTGGTTCTAACATTATACCAAGGGACTTGGTGGTGGATGCTCACAACCAGGGAACGGGAATTTCCGAGGCCTTGGAGGACCGCCTGGCCAATTATGTTACGAGCTGTGACAGGAGACCAGTGCAGGGTCGGGCCTGCAGAACTAGACTTGTAAAACCAGGCTTGCAATGCAAGGGATAGCACAGAGTGTCAAGTCGCATGTAGGGGAAAGCTGCACTTGGGTGTGCCTGGGAGGAGCAGCTCAAGCGCACGCGCAGGGCGTGGTACACGGCGCACAGAGACATGCGGTGGCTCCCATCGAGCGGGTTCGATGCTGTTTGCAACGCCTCTCAACCTGCAGGTCTGCGCATCCAGGCCCCTGCCCCAATCTGAAGCCCAAAATGATGGGTGAATAGCTGGTGCACCATCATGGCCTGGGTGCGAAGGCTTCACTGCGTCATGTTTTCAGCGCTAGCAATCGAATGGACTGGTTGGAATATTGTTAGAGGCACTGCGCTTCCTGACGACGGGATTATGTCCGTCCGCGTGCGCTCGCATCGAGTTCACCAATGTCCACAGGCTGGCAGGCGAATGGCGGAAGGCTGCTGCCAGAAAGATGACAGATTGGTGCGGTGTTTTGTGTCCATGTCGTCGCACCTGCTGGCGTCGCACGTGGGGCAACTACGAACCGGAGAACAATCGAGCTTCGTCTGTCTGACCGAGCAACTGACTACCGCCCGGCGCAAAAGTTGGGCGCAATGCGGCAGGACAGAACGCCCGTCGGGCAAAGTGAACGGCCTGAGATGTGCCGTTGGGCTTTTCCATCGTGTCCCTGACGCCAGCGACGCGAATACCACACGGACAGGAGACCAACTCCAGTTATCAGCCAATCCACACCCACCCGCCTCTCCACCCACCCGCATAACTTTTCACAACCAACAGTCGTTGCATTGCGGGGCGGAAAGGGACAGAGGGCAAGCACGATCCGGCAAGACGCTCCACGCGTCAGTCTCCGCCGGCGCTCCCCCTCGACTGACCCACAGCGCGTAGCGCCGCCCCCCCGCGGTCCTCCCGCTGCTCCTCACCGCTCCCCCGCCCACCCATTGGTGCTGACGTGGTCACAGTCAGTGCGCCGCCAGCAGAGCTCCCGCGGGCCGTTCCAGGAGCCAGACGCCGTCCCTCGCGCGCGGACGCCGGGCAACGACGCCGGGCAGCCGGGGATGGGTGCTTAGGCCATTCTGGCTGCACAGCAGCCAATGAGCGCCTTGCCGGCCCCTCCACGCCCCCTATCGGCGGAATCGGTGTAGAAGTTCGGGTCGCCGCGTCAGGGCGCTACGCACGAGGTGTGACGTGTGGACGCGTGACTCCGGGGGCCATCAACCCCCCGCTCGTGCCTCGAGTGGCCCCCAACTGCGGTTTTGGCCAGCAGGACCCGCACCTTGCGCGCCCGAACACCCCCGCCCCCCGCCATGGCGACCGGAGCCTCGCAAATTGGGTGTGCCTGCCCGGAGGCGCGCGCCGCCCCCGCGCGGCCCTGCGCGGCCCGCGGCAGGCATCACGCCCCGGGGGCGCATCGGCTGGGCGGCATCCGCCTCGCGGCCATGCCGCGCGGCAGGCCAGCCGTTTCTGCTTCCGCCACCGCATCAGAGGCCACTGGGCCTGCCCCGCCGGAGGTGACGCCGATTGTGAAGATCGACAACCTGCACGATCCGTTCGCGACGGTGGTGACCGTTCAGTTCGGCAGCGGGGCGGGCGACCTGCTGGGGGAGCTGCTGGACACGGTGGGCGCGCTGCGCAACCTGGGCCTCAACATCAAGCGCGCCAAGGTGGACTCGTCCGACCCCGCCAGCCGCCACCGTTTCTACGTCACCGACGCCGCCACTAGCGAGAAGATCGTCAAGTCCTCCCGCCTGGAGCAGATCCGATTGACGATCCTCAACAACATGACAACATTCCATCCCGAATCCGCGGACAGGCTGAGCTACGGCCCGCGGGTGCGCCGCGCGGCGTCCCGGGACGCCACGGAGCCGCTGGGCCCGTCGCACCGCAACGCGGTGGACACCACGATCCGGATCCGCGAGGACGACACCGGCAGCCACAGCGAGGTGTTCATCACGACGTGGGACCGCCCAGGGCTGCTCGTGGACATTGTCGCCACGCTGAAGGACCTGAATGTCAACGTGGTGTCTGCGGAGGTGGACACTGTGGGGACCGAGGCGCAGGACGAGTTTTTTGTGACCTACAGGGGCGAGCCGCTCAACGCGTCCATGACGGAGCTGGTGCGAAACGCCCTGCAGTACTTCCTGTCGCTGGCGGAGATCGAGCGGGAGGAGTCCTATTGAGCGGGCGGGGGTGGGAGTGGGG